GACAGAATCCCTACATAGCTTCAAGATGAGGTATGACAAGGCTCTTGTAGCAGGGAGAGAGTAGACCTAATAGCGACTAGCGAAGAGGCGGGGTCCAGAGCTATGAATAGACCTGTGCAACCATAAATAGGCGAGTACAAATAGGTGAGTACTGATATAAATCTTCACTTACACTTGGACTCATTGGAGTTTATCTGGAGTTTACCTGAAGAGGGTTTCGGGGGTCAACGTCCCCGCGGCCCGGTCTGAGACCAGGCCTCATGGTGGATCAGGGTTTGATCAACTAGGCTGTTACTGCTGGCCACGCGCAAACTGGCGTGCGAACCACAGCCCGATTGGTCAGGTACTGACTCTAGGTGCGTGTCCAGTGCCTTCTTGAAGACAGCCAGGGGTCTCTTGGTAATCCTTCTTATGTATGCTGGGAGGCACTTGAACAGTCTTGGGCCCCGGACACTTATTATGTTGTCTCAGTGTACTCCTGGCACCACTGCTTTTCATCGGGGGAATGTTGCATCTCCTGCCGAGTCTTTTGCTTTCACATGGAGTGATTTTTTGTGTGCAAGTTTGGTACTAATCCCTCTAGGATTTTCCAAGTGTATATTATCATGTATCTCTCTCGCCTGCGCTCCAGGGAATACATATCACTGGCCTTCAACCGTTCCCAGTAATTTAGGTGCTTTATCGTACTTATGTGTGCTGTGAAATTTCTTTGTACACTCTCCAGTTCAGCAATTTCTCCTGCCTTCAAGGGGGCAGTTAGTGTACAATATTATTCCAGCCTAGAGAGAACAAGCGGCTTGAAGTGAATCATCATGGGCTTGTCGTCTAGGAGAGCAGGTTATTATTATCACGGGGGAGCGCTAAACCCATAGGTATTATGCAACTCCTGTGGAGGGGGGGGGGAAGATAATCAAGTTTAATTCAGGGAACCGGAGCACAGATCTAATTCCCTAGATCAAAAGCCCATCACCAGCATCAAGCCCCTCACCAGAAATCAAGATCCTCACTAGATCAAGTACACTCACCTGATAGCCCCTCACCAGATCAAGATCCCTCCCAGCATTAAGAGCCACACAGCATCAGCCCCTAAATAGCATCAAGATCAATCACCAGCATCAGAAGCCCCTCACCAGTATCAAGAGCCCCTCACCAGCTATAGATCCCCTCACGGCATCAAGAGCCTCACGGCATCAGAGCCCCTCACCGCATCAAGATCCCCTCACCAGCATCAAGATCCCCTCACCAGCATCAAAATCCCCTCACCAGCATCAAGAGCCCCTCACCAGCATCAAGATACCCTCACCAGCATCAAGATCCCCTCGCCAGCATCAAGATGCCCTCACCAGCATCAAGAGCCCCTCACCAGCATCAAGATCCCCTCACCAGCATCAATATACCCTCACCAGCATCAAGAGCCCCTCACCAGTTCAGCATCAAATCAGATCCTCCTCACCCCAGGCATCAAGATACCCTCACCAGCATCAAGAGCCCCTCACCAGCATCAAGAGCCCCTCACCAGCATCAAGATCCCCTCGCCAGCATCAAGAGCCCCTCACCAGCATCAAGATACCCTCACCAGCATCAAGAGCCCCTCGCCAGCATCAAGAGCCCCTCACCAACATCAAGAGCCCCTCAACAGCATCAAGATCCCCTCACCACATCAAATCCCTCCCAGCATCAAGAGCCCCTCACCAGCATCAAGAAGCCCCTCACCAGCATCAAGATCCCTCACAGCATCAAGAGCCCCTCACCAGCATCAAGAGCCCCTCACCAGCATCAAGATCCCCTCACCAGCATCAAGAGCCCATCACCAGCATCAAGATCCCCTCACCAGCATCAAGAGCCCCTCGCCAGCATCAAGACCCCTCACCAGCATCAAGAGCCCCTCACCAGCATCAAGATCCATCACCAGCATCAAGAGCCCCTCACCAGCATCAAGAGCCCCTCAGCCAGCATCAAGATACCCTCACCAGCATCAAGAGCCCCTCACCAGCATCAAGAGCCCCTCACCAGCATCAAGATACCCTCACCAGCATCAAGAGCCCCTCACCAGCATCAAGATCCCTCACCAGCATCAAGAGCCCTCACCAGCATCAAGAGCCCCTGCCACCAACATACCCTCACCAAAAGAGCCCCTCACCAGCATCAAGATCCCCTCACCAGCATCAAGAGCCCCTCACCAGCATCAAGAGCCCTCACATCAACACTCACAGCATCAAGAGCCCCTCACCAGCATCAAGAGCCCTTCACCAACATCAAGAGCCCCTCACCAGCGTCAAGAGCCCCTCACCAGCATCAAGAGCCCCTCACCAGCATCAATATCCCCTCAACAGCATCAAGAGCCCCTCAACATCATCAAGAGCCCCCTCACCAGCATCAAGAACCCCTCACCAGCATCAAGAGCCCCTCACCAGCATAAAGAGCCCCTCACCAGCATCAAGAGCCCCTCACCAACATCAAGAGCCCCTCATCAACATCAAGATCCCCTCACCAGCATCAAGAGCCCCTCACCAGCATCAAGAGCCCCTCACCAGCATCAAGAGCCCCTTACCAGCATCAAGAGCCCCTCACCAGCATTAAGAAACCTTCCTTGAGGGGATTTGAAAGTAGAATTTATATTTTATGTTCCAACTGTTTATCATTACATTTATAAGGTCAAGGTAATGATGTAATTTCACCTAATTATTTTTTTCTTTGATGTGGACAATTTTCTTTTTTATGAAGTGTAAATAAAGTGTTTTTAGGAAGCATTTTTTATTGCTGTGTAATATACACTAAGTATAAACATTGTGTTTGCTCTGCAAATGTAGTTCCTTACCTCCCTTACAAGCAGATAGTCTTCCCTAAGATATCCCTTAACACAGAAATTCTGGCGCCGACCCTGCTGTAATAGCTTATTCAAAACCTGCACTCTGAAATTACTCCTTAGGAGATTCCTGAGTAAAGTAGATGGCATAAAATACTTCGAACGAAAATTTAGGTTGGTATTGGGAGGGTTCTATCTAGGCTGGAATATTGCTGCACACTAACAGCACCTTTCAAGGCAGGTGAAATTGCTGACCTAGAAAATGTACAGAGAACCTTCACGGCGCGCATAAAGGAGATAAAACACCTCAATTACTGGGAGCGCTTGAGGTTCCTAAACCTGTATTCCCTGGAACGCAGGCGGGAGAGATACATGATTATATACACCTGGAAAATCCTAGAGGGACTAGTACCGAACTTTCACACGAAAATCACTCATACGAAAGCAAAAGACTTGGCAGACGATGCAACATCCCCCCAATGAAAAGTAGGGGTGTCACTAGCACGTTAAGAGACCATACAATAAGTGCCAGGGGCCCAAGACTGTTCAACTGCCTCCCAGCATACATAAGGGGGATTACCAACAGACCCCTGGCAGTCTTCAAGCTGGCACTGGACAAGCACCTAAAGTCGGTTCCTGACCAGCCGGGCTGTGGCTCGTACGTTGGTTTGCATGCAGCCAACAGTAACAGCCTGGTTGATCAGGCTCTGATCCACCAGGAGGCCTGGTCACAGACCGGGCCGCGGGGGCGTTGACCCCCGGAACTCTCTCCAGGTAAACTCAAGGTAATATGATAGTTGGAGATAAACACACTTGTTGGGTTGTATTCACTTACATTAGCAGAGTTGTGAGAGGGGAGCCCAGCCTAGCCTGTTGTTGCCTGTAGGTCTATCTATGAACTGAGAGAGAGGCAGAGCATCTGACGCTCACATGTCACAACACGTGACGTCACATGCTAGCCCCTAGGCCTAGCAAGGGATCGTCTATATAAAATATATAGATGGTACTAACTACGATACTCAGATATGCTATACAACATATGTAGGGGATCAGCAACTATGCTGACAGCTCGGTCATGTTATGTATGGCGTCTCAACAGACATAGATAACTTAGAACTAATCACAGAAATGGTTAAGGGATGCACCCAGTTGAATGGATAACATTGGAATGGATGTTATATTAATGGATGGTGATTTAGGTAATGCATTACAAATTAGAATAACAAATCATAGTACAGTAAAAGATAGAATTGATCGATCGATCTGTATTCGTGCACTCTACGGATTCTGAGGAAGAATATATATTTACAAAGGTGAAAGTAATTAACAGCAAAGGCAGACCTGGTGTGCACAGGTTATTACTGCTAAATCTCAGAATTTGGAGGGAACGTGAACACAATTTTTTTTTTTTGAAAACTGATCAGCTAATAACAAAACACACAGTTGACAACCTCATTCAACTTGATTATCTAATTATACAAGTTATGTACATTTAAACCCAACTCTGCAAGGGTAAGATTTACATATGCAGAATGGTTATCATCTCTGGGAGGATCGAAGTCTTTTGCAATCATGTCCCAAGTACTTGCAAGCGATGTCTCAGGACATTCTGCCAGTCCCAGCAATAATGAGTCAGCACAAAATTCAAGTAATCTCTTACCGACCTACAGACACACTCATACTTCGAGACTTCGGAACTTTAGTCATGACCCTAAGATATCCCTTAATAGAGGAATTCTGGCGCCGACCCTGTTGTAATAGCTTATTCAAATCCTGCACTATAAAATTACTCCTTAGGAGATTCCTGGGTAAAGACTGAATAAAATACTCCGACCGAAAATTTAGGTTGGATTAAGTACACTAAGATGAACTCAAGTAAGCTTAAGAGACCCTCAAACACTTCAGGACACTTGGATATAAATATCTAATGGTTATAATCATAACCATAACTTTTAAAGGTGTGGAGGGGTAAGCTATTGGGATGACCAAAACCTCCAGCTGCGGGTTATCATGTCTAAGATCCGCGTCAGGAAACACTTGTCCTGTTTCCTGATAAACGTGACCTAACCTAACTTCTTCAGACATAAACATGTAAATAGTTCATTATTACTGTAACTTGTTTAGCTATCAAAAATTTGCTGCCCAGTCCCTGGACCCATTATGTGCGTCTGTAATCTGGTGACTACCACCACACCATGAACATGTGGGACATATAAATGATATTAAACTAAACCTTCAAAATGGGACCGTGAACTCACACTCATTCAATTTGTGATTTCCAAAATCTTCTTCAGGTATCCTTCAGGTAACCTCTCAAAGACCCTTCCCACTCCATACTTTCCCTTCCTCCACCTGACATCACTCCCTCCACCTCCCTCCCAGACATCTCACTTTCCCTTACCAACAGCGCTACAGGGAAAGAGGAGGTCAGTTGTAGTGTTGAGGTGTCGTGGTAGAGCTGCTGTAGAGTTGAACTGTTGCCATAGTGTTCAAGTGCTGTAATAGTCCTGTGGGATTGCTGTGATACTGCTGAAGTGCTGTAAAAGATCTGAGATAGTTCTGTGAGACTGGTACGGTGTACTGTGGCAGTGTTACTAACGTGCAATGATAGTGCTGAAGTGCTGAAACAGAGCTGTGCTAGTACTGTAGTAGTACTGTGGTAGTACTGTAGTAGTACTGTAGAAGTACTGTGGAAGTACTGTAGTAGTACTGTGGTAGTACTGTAGTAGTACTGTGGTAGTACTGTAGAAGTACTGTGGAAGTACTGTAGTAGTACTGTGGTAGTACTGTAGTAGTACTTAGAAGTACTGTGAAGTACTGTAGTAGTACTGTGGTAGTACTGTAGTAGTACTGTAGAAGTACTGTGGAAGTACTGTAGTAGTACTGTGGTAGTACTGTAGTAGTACTGTAGAAGTACTGTGGAAGTACTGTAGTAGTACTGTAGTAGTACTGTAGTAGTACTGTAGAAGTACTGTGGAAGTACTGTAGTAGTACTGTGGTAGTACTGTAGTAGTACTGTGGTAGTACTGTAGTAGTACTGTGGTAGTACTGTGGAAGTACTGTAGTAGTACTGTAGTAGTACTGTGGTAGTACTGTAGTAGTACTGTGGAAGTACTGTAGTAGTACTGTAGTAGTACTGAAGTAGTGTAGTACTGTGGTAGTACTGTGTAGTACTGTAGTAGTACTGTAGTAGTACTGTGTAGTACTGTAGAGTACTGTGTAGTACTGTGGTAGTACTGTAGTAGTACTGTAGTAGTACTGTGGAAGTACTGTAGTAGTACTGTGGTAGTACTGTAGTAGTACTGTAGTAGTACTGTAGTAGTACTGTGGTAGTACTGTAGTAGTACTGTAGTAGTACTGTAGTAGTACTGTAGTAGTACTGTGGTAGTACTGTAGTAGTACTGTGGTAGTACTGTAGTAGTACTGTAGTAGTACTGTGGAAGTACTGTAGTAGTACTGTGGTAGTACTGTAGTAGTACTGTGGAAGTACTGTAGTAGTACTGTAGTAGTACTGTAGTAGTACTGTGAGAAGTACTGTAGTTAGTACTGTAGTAGTACTGTAGTAGTACTGTAGTAGTACTGTAGTACTGTAGTAGTACTGTAGTAGTACTGTAGTAGTACTGTAGTAGTACTGTAGTAGTACTGTAGTAGTACTGTAGTAGTACTGTAGTAGTACTGTAGTAGTACTGTAGTAGTACTGTAGTAGTACTGTAGTAGTACTGTGGAAGTACTGTAGTAGTACTGTAGTAGTACTGTAGTAGTACTGTAGTAGTACTGTAGAAGTACTGTAGTAGTACTGTGAAGTTACTGTAGTAGTACTGTAGCAGTACTGTAGTAGTACTGTAGTAGTACTGTAGCAGTACTGTAGTAGTACTGTAGTAGTACTGTAGTAGTACTGTATCAGTACTGTAGTAGTACTGTGTAGTACTGTAGTAGTACTGTACGTAGTACTGTATAGTAGTACTGTAGTAGTACTGTAGTAGTACTGAGTAGTATGTACTGTAGTAGTACTGTAGTGTACTGTAGATGTAGTAGTACTGTAGTAGTACTGTAGTAGTACTAGTACGTAGTACTGTGGAAGTACTGTAGTAGTACTGTACTGTAGTAGTACTGTTAGTAGTACTGTAGTAGTACTGTAGAGTAAGTACTGTGTAGTACTGTAGTAACGTATACTGTGGAAGTACTGTAGTAGTAGTAGTACTGTAGTAGTACTGTAGTAGTACTGTAGTAGTACTGTAGTAGTACTGTAGTACTGTAGTAGTACTGTAGTAGTACTGTAGTAGTACTGTAGTAGTACTGTAGTAGGATACTGTAGTAGTACTGTAGTAGTATCTGTGGAAGAATACTGTAGTAGAAACTGTAGTAGTACTGTAGTAGTACTGTAGAAGAGAAGTACTGTGGTAGTACTGTAGTAGTACTGTAGCAGTACTGTAGTAGTACTGTAGTAGTACTGTAGTAGTACTGTAGTAGTACTGTAGTAGTACTGTAGCAGTACTGTAGTACTGTAGTACTGTAGTAGTACTGTAGTAGTACTGTATAGTACTGTAGTAGTACTGTAGTAGTACTGTAGTAGTACTGTAGTAGTACTGTAGTAGTACTGTAGTAGTACTGTAGTACTGTAGTAGTACTGTAGTAGTACTGTGGAAGTACTGTAGTAGTACTGTAGTAGTACTGTAGTAGTACTGTAGAAGTACTGTAGTAGTACTGTAGTAGTACTGTGAGGTTACTGTATACTGTAGTAGTACTGTAGTAGTACTGTAGTAGTACTGTGGAAGTACTGTAGTAGTACTGTAGTAGTACTGTAGTAGTACTGTAGTAGTACTGTAGTAGTACTGTAGTAGTACTGTAGATAGTACTGTAGTAGTACTGTAGTAGTACTGTAGTAAGTACTGTAGTAGTACTGTAGTAAGTACTGTAGTAGTACTGTAGTAGTACTGTAGTAGTACTGTAGTAGTACTGTAACTAGTAGTACTGTAGTAGTACTGTAGAGTACTGTAGTACTGTGTAGTAAGTACTGTAGTAGTACTGTAGTAGTACTGTAGTATGAAAGTAGTACTGTAGTAGTTGTACTGTATGAAGTACTAGTAGTAGTAGTACTGTAGATACAGTACTGTACTAGTACTGTAGAGTACTGTAGTAGTACTGTGAGTACTGTAGTAGTCTATACTGTAGTAGTACTGTAGTAGTACTGTAGTAGTACTGTAGAAGTACTGGTAGTAGTACTGTAGTAGTACTGTAGTAGTACTGTAGTAGTTACTGTACTAGTACTGTAGAAGTACTGTAGTAGTACTGTAGTATATGTATAATTTGTAGTAGTACTGTAGTAGTACTGTAGAAGTAACTGTAGTAGTACTGTGAGTACGTGAAGTACTGTAGTAGTACTGTAGTAGTACTGTAGAAGTACTGTATGTTAGATGTAGTACTGTAGTAGTACTGTAGTAGTACTGTAGTAGTACTGTAGTAGTACTGTAGTAGTACTGTAGTAGTACTGTAGTAGTACTGTAGCAGTACTGTAGTAGTACTGTAGTAGTACTGTAGTAGTACTGTAGTAGTACTGTAGTAGTACTGTAGTAGTACTGTAGTAGTACTGTAGTAGTACTGTAGCAGTACTGTAGTAGTACTGTAGTAGTACTGTAGTAGTACTGTAGTAGTACTGTAGTAGTACTGTAGTAGTACTGTAGTAGTACTGTAGTACTGTAGTAGTACTGTAGAGTACTGTAGTAAGTACTGTAGTAGTACTGTAGTAGTACTTGTAGTACGTAACTGTAGTAGTACTGTAGAAGTACTGTAGTAGTACTGTAGTAGTACTGTAGTAGTACTGTAGTAGTACTGTAGAGTACTGAGTAGTACTTGTAGTAGTATACTGTAGTAGTACTGTAGAGTACTGTAGTATACTGTAGTAGTACTGTAGTAGTACTGTGGTAAGTACTGTAGTAGTACTGTAGTAGTACTGTAGTACGTACTTGTAGAAGTACTGTAGTAGTACTGTAACTGTAGTAGTACTGTGGAAGTACTGTAGTAGTACTGTAGTAGTACTGTAGTAGTACTGTAGTAGTACTGTGTAGATGTAGAGTATGTGAGTACTGTAGTAGTACTGTAAGTAGTAGTACTGTAGTAGTACTGTAGTAGTACTGGTAGAAGTACTGTAGTAGTACTGTAGTAGTACTGTAGTAGTACTGTAGTAGTACTGTACTGAAGTACTGTAGTAGTACTGTATAGACTTAGTAGTATGTACTGTAGTAGTACTGTAGTAGTACTGTAGTAGTACTGTAGTATAGTAGTAGTACTGGAAAGTACTTGTAGTAGTACTGTAGTAGTACTGTATATGTAGTAGTACTGTAGTAGTACTGTAGTAGTACTGTAGAAGTATTGTGGAAGTACTGTAGTAGTACTGTAGTAGTACTGTAGTAGTACTGTAGTAGTACTGTAGTAGTACTGTAGAAGTACTGTAGTATTACTGTAGTAGTACTGTAGTAGTACTGTAGTAGTACTGTAGTAGTACTGTAGTAGTACTGTAGTAGTACTGTAGAAGTATTGTGGAAGTACTGTAGTAGTACTGTAGTAGTACTGTAGTAGTACTGTAGTAGTACCGTAGTAGTACTGTAGAAGTACTGTAGTAGTACTGTAGTAGTACTGTAGTAGTACTGTAGTAGTACTGTAGTAGTACTGTAGAAGTATTGTGGAAGTACTGTAGTAGTACTGTAGTAGTACTGTAGTAGTACTGTAGTAGTACTGTAGAAGTACTGTAGTAGTACTGTAGTAGTACTGTAGAAGTACTGTAGTAGTACTGTAGTAGTACTGTAGTAGTACTGTAGAAGTATTGTGGAAGTACTGTAGTAGTACTGTAGTAGTACTGTAGTAGTACTGTAGAAGTACTGTAGTAGTACTGTAGTAGTACTGTAGTAGTACTGTAGAAGTACTGTAGTAGTACTGTAGTAGTACTGTAGTAGTACTGTAGTAGTACTGTAGAAGTACTGTAGTAGTACTGTAGTAGTACTGTAGTAGTACTGTAGTAGTACTGTAGTAGTACTGTAGAAGTACTGTAGTAGTACTGTAGAAGTATTGTGGAAGTACTGTAGTAGTACTGTAGTAGTACTGTAGTAGTACTGTAGAAGTACTGTAGTAGTACTGTAGTAGTACTGTAGTAGTACTGTAGTAGTACTGTAGAAGTACTGTAGTAGTACTGTAGTAGTAGTACTGTAGTAGTACTGTAGTAGTACTGTAGAAGTACTGTAGTAGTACTGTAGTAGTACTGTAGTAGTACTGTAGAAGTACTGTAGTAGTACTGTAGTAGTACTGTAGTAGTACTGTAGTAGTACTGTAGAAGTACTGTAGTAGTACTGTAGTAGTACTGTAGTAGTACTGTAGTAGTACTGTAGTAGTACTGTAGTAGTACTGTAGAAGTACTGTAGTAGTACTGTAGAAGTATTGTGGAAGTACTGTAGTAGTACTGTAGTAGTACTGTAGTAGTACTGTAGAAGTACTGTAGTAGTACTGTAGTAGTACTGTAGTAGTACTGTAGTAGTACTGTAGAAGTACTGTAGTAGTACTGTAGTAGTAGTACTGTAGTAGTACTGTAGTAGTACTGTAGTAGTACTGTAGAAGTACTGTAGTAGTACTGTAGTAGTACTGTAGTAGTACTGTGGTAGTACTGTAGTAGTACTGTAGTAGTGCCATGGTAGTGTCATGGTAGTGCCATGGTAGTGTCATGGTAGTGTCATAGTAGTGTCATGGTAGTTTTATGGTAGTGTCATGGTAGTGTCATGGTAGTGTCATGGTAGTGTCATGGTAGTGTCATTGTAGTGTCATGGTAGTGTCATGGTAGCGTCATTGTAGTGTCATGGTAGTGCCATGGTAGTGTCATGGTAGTGTCGTGGTAGTGCCATGGTAGCGTCATGGTAGCGTCATGGTAGCGTCATAGTAGTGTCATGGTAGCGTCATGGTAGTGTCATGGTAGTGTCATGGTAGTGTCATGGTAGTGTCGTGGTAGTGCCATGGTAGCGTCATGGTAGCGTCATGGTAGCGTCATAGTAGTGTCATGGTAGTGTCATGGTAGTGTCATGGTAGTGTCGTGGTAGTGCCATGGTAGCGTCATGGTAGCGTCATGGTAGTGTCATGGTAGTGTCATGGTAGCGTCATGGTAGCGTCATGGTAGTGTCATGGTAGTGTTATGGTAGTGTCATGGTAGTGTCATGGTAGTGTCATGGTAGTGTCATGGTAGTGTCATGGTAGTGTCATGGTAGTGTCATGGTAGTGTCATGGTAGTGGCTTGTACCTATGGTTCACCTCTCCAGTGTTTTTTCAATTTAGTACTTAAAAGATATGATAAATTAGACATGTGCAACTCTTGGGTATCTTTAATGAGGAAACGTTTCGCCACACAGTGGCTTCATCAGTCCATACAAAGGAGAATCGTGAAGAACAGGAGGGGAATGAGGTAATCAATCCCTCAACCTTGAATCGATGTGGTCAGTCCATCAATCTTGAATAGAATACAGCATATGTGCAGAGAAGCGGCTTATATACTGTAGGCAGGAGAGGTGCAGCAGTCGTATTCTATTCAAGATTGATGGACTGACCACATCGATTCAAGGTTGAGGGACTGATTACCTCATTCCCCTCCTGTTCTTCACTATTCTCCTTTGTATGGACTGATGAAGCAACTGTGTGTCGAAACGTTTCCTCAATAAAGATACCCAAGAGTTGCACATGTCTAATTTATCAACGTGTCGGTTTTCTGAACCATTCATCTACAACTTAAAATATATAAATGAACAATAAATAATATTTGATCTTCGTACAGCAACAACAAAAATAATGACGACAACAACAACAACAATAACCAAAATAATAATTCCCAAACAGCAACAGCTGCTGTTGTTACTGTTGTTTATGTGATGGTAGTGAAGCTGCTGTTATTGGTGATGG